AACACAAATTAGTTAGCATAAATCAGTTAAATGACGACAAATTAGGTGTCTATTTACTTGTAACTACTCAGTGTATGTGTGTTTTTCTCATATACTTGCGTATAGATTTATATATGTGTGTGTATATAATTGTGAGTGTGGTGTGCTTTCTTGTTGTTTCTTCCTATATTGTTTATTGGTAAATTACATGGCTTGAATCTCGCCCTTTTGACTTTTGATAGGTTTGAACGTATACAGACGGTATCTGCAAGTCTTCAACAAGCGTCTAACATTAAAAATATTCATTTGTCCATTTCTAATCTTCCTTAGTATTGTGTGTATTTACAGTGGTCAAACAGCCTCATAAATAAGTAAAACATGCACGCATACACACACAAAAATAGCATTTGGTACGCGTTTCCAGAGCAACGATATTTATCTTAAAGTGACATTTACCATTAAAATACCTCTACTATACTAATTCTTATTGTAAGTAAGAAACATATTTTATAGCAGTAAGAGAGAGAGAAGCAAAAATGTACACTTTAAACTTAACCATAGCAACCTGTACATATATATATAGGCGAACAGGTAACAATAAAATGTTCAATAAGAAACCCCAAGTTTTTATACACCTGCTTTTGTTAGATTGTCACCTGTTGTGGAAATTTACGGTTTCCTTTTCACGTTATGTCTCTAGGTAAAGATGGTGAACTGTAATCGTTTCTCTTCAAATTATTTGTTACATATGTTCCAACAATCATTTCATTTTTCACTTGTCTTGTAGGATATATATATATATATATCTACTGTAACGCACTTGCACGCGACACTCAATACGCAATAAGAAAAATTATGTACAGTCATAACATTTATACATACATCTTTGTAACAAAACCTATATGTCTTAGCGCTTTCTTATGCAAGAAAACGGAACTTATAATATCAATCCATATAAGCAAAGTGAAAGGTAATTTAAATAAAAAAATAGAAGAAAAAGCTTTTCTTATAGAATATCAGGAGTAAAATACAATTTCATAGTTCGATTTGTTGACGAAATACCTAACTTGCTGGAACAAAAACTATACATGGATCATAAAATTATTTCCAAATATACATGTTATAATTTGAGGCTAATTCAGCAAAATATTACTGATCATCCCTCTCAATAAGCCAATATACAGACAGAGTATATTTTTCTAATTTTGTAGATAGTCTATAGATCTTATAAATTCATATGAAAATGAGTTTTGTTCTTTGAATCTCAGCTTATTATCTATATAATGCTATACAGTAGACAATTATCATAAAGTTCGAAGTTATGAAATTAAAATTGTAAAAAAAAAGATTATGGAATCCAAGTAGCTATTCTCACATTCTTTTATATGAAGGTATATCTAAAGTACGTTTCTTTTCTTTTTTTTTAGGTTGTTACCTTCTTTATGCTACAATAATAGTTATGAACAATGAGTGACAGTTAAGGCTTAAGACATAATAGGGCTAAATGCATTTAACTTAGCTTATTTTTTGGTTCCATTTAACAAACTAGATTAATTTTTATTTTATGATATGGCAGACTTCTCCAATTGTATACTGTCCAACTTTGGCGTCATCACAGAGGTTGAGTACATTATATTAAAACAATCTTGAAGCCTCACCACGTTCTTACAGTCCATTTCGCCACGTCTGTTCATGCTCCATCTGACAACTGTGAATATTGGCAATAGCTTTCAACCTAGTTATTTTTAGAAAAAGCTCCGTCGTAAGCCTGTCATATCCAAAGTACATCCTTCCTCTCTGCAGCTTTCCACAATCTGTCTAATGCAGGTGAACGACGGTTTTCCAGAGCCCATTTCAACAGTCTGATCGCACAGAAATACGTAGGGGTTGTGTCCAGTGACTTGACTGGGAAGATATACCAGCTGCTTGAGTCGCTTTTCCAAATGGAAATATTTCTTGATTATGTTACTCTCTTTTGCCTGGGGCACGTAGATAGCTTTTGCCATTGAAATTTGTGTTCGTGGGTTCTTATCTGTTACAAGACGCCGAATTTTGCTTACCAAGACTGGGATATGACTTGTTACAGGTATCTTTGAGGATGATCCTGGTTTTCTTTGTTGATACCTTAGTTTTCCAATTCCATTAAGTGCAAAGAATATCTCCGTTTTGGAAATTCTAGATTCCAGGTCTGAACATTTATTTTATGATATCATTTATAAATATTTTGCGTCGAAAAGTAATTTTATATACCTATTCCCTGTACCGTAAATGTTTGTATTTTGTTCCTTCCTAGAGTGAGCTGATGTGTTTCTTTTGTACTTGCTGTATATATATATATATAAACACAGGAACATGTTAGAACAACTATATTAGCACTGGTTTAAGAGGGTGCAGTAATGTTTCCAGAGGTTTTCCTGGTTGCCCAGTCCCCACTTTTTAGAATGATATACAGCATATTTTCAAAACATGGTCTTACGTTTATAGTTTTCGTTATCAAAATTCCATTGATACGTAATCTGAAATTTATCTTTCTTTGAAAACCTGGGTCACCGTGGCATAGCGGTAAGTCTGAGGTATCTTTAACACTAAAAAAGCTACGCAGATAATCCATTGTATAACATTATGATTAACAACAAACAATTTGTATTTTTTTATTGTTAAGTGCAAAGCTACACAATGGGCTATTTGTGATCTGCCCACCGCGAGTATTGAAACCTACTTTTTAGTGTTATAAGTTCTCACAATTACCCGCTTACTCACTGGGGGCAAAAGCAAACAAAGTCGAAAAACTGGAAGTAATGAATTTATTTCACATAAATAAAATATAGTATAGTATCTCTTTAGTAATACACCATTAATGCTTCAATAGTTGAAAACCAGGCAGATTTGGCCTTCCAATTTGAAACCCCTCCCTTTTGCTGATACATTACTCGTATGGCTTATTTGCAAATTATAGCATAAGGTTACATAAATTAGCACTTGGGTACACAATAAACTTATTCAATACTCGAACAAGGTTAAAAAAATATGAGATTCAAGCCGTTGTTTTTTGGTTTGTAAAATGAGTGACGCGGTAACGAATTTGCCTTTTCATACCTATTTTTGTTCTACATTATTCCAACTTTTATACATTATAACAGTATATCATGTTGTTCAGACATTAATTCGAGAGCAACCTTTATTTAACTTCTACTGTATCTTCATTCATTTTAAAAGTTTAAAATATCATTATTTTTAATTGTATTAGTATTTTTCATTCCTTCTGCAGTCATTGAACAACCATACGAGGTCAACGTATATGACGAGAGGGCTTTTCTCCACAACTCTGTGGTGATGACATGTATTATTCCTTCGTTCATCCGGGAACACGTGGAAGTGACGAAGTGGATTCGAGAAGATGGATTTAGCATAAGTACAGAATCTCATTATGGTGAGTGACAGTCAAAGGATCATGATCCCTTCAGGATTCGTCATTTTTAGCGAAATTTCGAAACTCCTTTGAAGCGATACAAAGTACTGACTGACAAAAAAATCATATCACTCTTTCAACAGTACAACAGCATTATTTCCCGTCGTTGAAGGTTACGTAATTTATATAGATGAAGTAAGAGTTTGGTTTTGAAATGTTTGAAACTAATTCTTACTAGCATGGATGATACTTATTTCATTTTCACGATAACATATTTATTAAATTGATTACTTATTTCCAGTCATCCTGAAGAAGGAAGGCTTATCTTCCTGAAGTGCTCATGTTATCCAGTTGCTCATTTTGTAATTCAACTGAGTCACTATATTAATATGACTAAGGTATAACTTTCATCTGAAGCTTGTTGGTCTTAAAGACACCTTAATGGCACAATAGAACGTTGAAACTTGTATCAAGTATTTGATAACTCTTAAACGATCTTAAGCACAAGAAATTTTTCCAAACTAGTCTTTTAGAGTTTTAAGGGTGATAGGCTTCACACTATTTATGTTGCGTACAAGTCTTAGCCATCTACTTGAAAAGTTTAAAATATGCTCAGAAATGTTACACATTTTAATAAATCTGTTCATTATTGAAAAGTAATTTGTACGAACTACTGAGAATCCAGATAAAGTACTACCGAATATTGATTGTCACATTATTTCTTTTAGATCTCATTATGTACTTTCCATTATAACTTTCTTTTAATCTCCTATACTGCAAGAACGTGACGAAAACTGTTTGTCTCTAGCCAGATTAAGCACGCGTGATATTTTTCACCTTCTGTGAATTATAAATGCTAAACTTACTAGCTCAAATTAGGAAACAAAAGCCGTCTTTTCTGTTTCTTTTCTTTTGTATACCAGCGCCCAGTGGCACAGCGGTATGTCTGCAGACTTACAACGCTAGAATCCGGGTTTTGATACCCGTGGTGGGCAGAGCACAGATAGCCCATTTATAACTTTGTGCTTAATTACAAACAAACCTATACCAACTCTCATTGGCGCACTTATTATTATATAATACCTTATCAGGCAGGATATAATTTCATTTTGATTTATAAAAGTAAAGGGTGTTAGGACTTTTATGTTAACAAAATTGTTTATTTGTGTTTCAGACAGAAGCCTTGAACTTGTGCTATTTGCTGAGGTGTTTCGTTGTGCAAGTTATACTAATGGTGGATAGGTGGTCTGCATACAATGGTTCATACATTTATTAAATGTTGTCAAATTTGTAAACATAATTTTCGGACAGCCTGTATTTTCGAAATAGGTTTAGGGTAGTATTACAAGGAGTACACATCAATTTTTGTTGTTGTTTTTTTCATTTTGATAACTTATACTTCTGGTCACTTTTTATTTCTCATTATCTTGTAGGTATTGGGTATTATATCTTACTCTCTGGAGACTTGCTTATTAAAGAAGTTGATAGTGAGAACAGCAGATACGGCTACAGCTGTCGGTCAAGAAGTAAAGTTACTGGAGAAACTGTTGATAGTGTCACCGCGGGACAAGTGATAGTCTCAGGTTATTAGTCACATCTAAGAAGAGAGATTATTGTGAAATTATAGTCTTAAAATCTCATTACATCTATATTTAGCTATTAATAATTACCCAGAAAGAAACGGAATAGCTTTTTAATTAAAAAAAGACATTTCAATTCAACATGTGGAAAAACCTTACTCTTTTCAGTAAATACATTAAAATACATTTTATATGTAGTAATTTCTGTTAAAGTAAGTAAAATATTCAAAAATATTTGATACTTAAAGTATTTGTGTAAGTAACATTGTAACTGATATTACATTTACGTTAGTTGACATATTGTATACAATATGATGTCCTAGTAGAAATGATTAGAATCTAAATATTGACTTGTATAAGAATGTAATCTCCAACAGAAGGTATCTGTGCATAACTATATAAATATTAATATAACCTTTTTTTCACTTTATATGAAATGGAAATTAGAAAATAATTTTACTTTATCAAAAAAAACTATGTTTACTTACAAATACGAATATATTATTTTACATATGGATTTAAATTCTTAGACATCTAAATCGTTGATAATATATATAAAATTAACTTTGTATACATTTAACATTTAAAAAACAATATTTGCCAGAACCTATTTACGTACCCTTATGAACCTCTAAGGTTTAATTGTTACGTATATTTAGAGTTTAGCAATTAAAACTATCTCTCATCCTGTAGAGGTGCACACCCCAGTTCCACCACAAATTGTTTACAAAGATACCCAAGTAGAGTCATCCGAGGGGGAGAAGACAGTGTTAGCCTGCGTGGCCCAAGGCTATCCTGCTCCCTTGTGCAGCTGGTCCAAGTGGGAAGGTAGTGAGTTGATTCCGGTGTATTCAGACTCCAGAAGACGGATGTTAGGATGTAGTCTAGAAATAAACAGGGTTACCTCTGAAGACAGCAGTCGATATATTTGTGAAGCAAATAACACTGTTGGTAAAGATGTGTCTGAAACCAAGCTAGTTGTCTATGGTAAGCAAAGAACTTCAGTTATATTAATATTCTGTCTATAGTTTGATTTCGAATCTGGGTTAATAGAGTTAACAGTATAGGTTTGGTGTTAGAATGATTATAGTTATAGATTATACAAATTTTTCAACAAACGACACTAAAAGAATCGAACGGACAGAGATGAAAACGACAGCACGTGATTTTAATAAATAACAAATAAACAAAGTAGTAAATTCATGACAAATAATGTTCATTTTGCGTTATGTAAGACCCAAAACTTTCATTTAGGTAATTAAAATCCTTATCTATTTTAACGTTTTTATTCGTTATTTACCTCTGTCAGTTACGTTTTGGTAAACTTAACTCTCGAGAAGAATAGTTCAGGAAATAAAGTGATAGGTACTAGTACCTGAGATATTTTGACGGTTCATATTAATATATATATATATATATAGATAG